CAAAACAGGAGAAATGACAGCACTTTGCTGGAAATTCAAGCACTCAAGAGTCAAGCAGAGCCGTGTTTAGGTTGCCCGTATGACTTTCTGCTGTGATGAGCACATTGCTTACTTGATGACAATGATGGATTCTTGGAAACACCTTTTATTTTCTGCTCTCAGCTCTTTCCAGTTGTCTGCATGAGGTGGAGCAGCAGTTCTTGCAGAGCTGCTAATGCTCTGTGCTGTTCTGCACTTTCAGTGGTTGAATCAAAGTGAGAGACAGCTAAAAATGCACCATATTCCCCACCAGCTCTGGGGTAAACATTTGCTGCAGTTACCTGAGGACTGTCATGTAACCAAAATGAGCAATCTGGACAGTCACTCTTGCCCCCAGTGCAGTGAGGGTTGTGCTCCACACCCTGACAGTGCCCTGTTAAAGAAACACCTGATGTGTTTGGTTATGCTGAAATAGCCCCCTGGGCTCAGCACAGATCAGAGAAGGTGAAACCACCACTGCCTCCTTTGCAGTCACATTTCTACCTCCTTGAAGGATCAGCTGCTTCCACAGAACGAAAGGAAAAGCACACCTCCAAAGAAAGGCTCCCAAAACCAAAGCCACGTTTGTGCCTGGCTTTTATATCCCTAATCCTCCATCACAGGGAGGGGGAGTAAAAAGGGGCTGAGATGACTTCTTTACCCTTCTTACCAACACTGCCATGCCAGCTCAGGCCCTCCTTTTCCTGGGAGACACCGTGCCTGGGATCCCCCACCCTCCTCACACCACTGACAAGGAGCAGAGGCTTCCTCCCCTGTGCAGCCCTCTCTTCTGAGAAGGGAAACACCAGGGGAAATTCTTCTCCCACAGGCACATCTGATGCCTTGAGAAGGCTGGCCTAGAACAGAGACTAGACAGAAATAAAGAATAAAGTAGGGATTTATTAGGAGGCCTCAATAGATCCATCCACCTTGGGCAGTACAACTCAAAATGGTCACAAAATGGATGATCAGTCACGAGGTCTATTTAATAAGTTTTGGCCTATTTGCATATTGGAGTTAACTGTCCAATTCCAGCTGCAGCCCCTGCAGTCCCATCCTGCTTGTTTTTCTCTCTGCAGCCCACGGGGTTTGTGCTCTTGGGCTGAGTTTTGGATCATTTGTCCTAGGTTCCCAGATGGAGCAGGAATTGTTTTGTGTCCCTGCTCTGTGCAGAGAGCTCGCCATCCCCTCATGTGAAGCCCAGATCCACACACTAAAGCAGCACAGAATGTGAAAAATATAAAAGCTAAACCTGAGGTATCACATTGAGCAACAGCACTGGGGCCCAGGCTGAAGCTCTGCTTCCATCACTTGTGTTTGTATCCTCCACTAAATCCTAACCCACCCATGTGAGTCCCACCAGCTGCTTCCAATCTTCTGAACAGGATTGCTCTGTGCTATAAACTTCAGCTTTCCAAAGCATCGTCTGTTAAGCCAAAAGCTTCAGATAGGATTGCTGAACACCAGGCTGGGAGTCCAAGAAGCACAGGGCATATCTTCCCTGTGTCAGCAGGCACCTCGTGTATTTTCAGTGCTGTCAGAAACAAACCACTCCCTGATATTCCAGAGGAGGGGGGGAAAGTCTTCTAGAAGTGGTGGTGAAGCTAATATTGTAAAAAGACCCTTCCGAGAACTTGCCAGCCTCCTGGGGGAGCTTGTCAACATCTCCCACATTAAATGAAAGCCACTTTAAAATCCACAGGGGTTTTGAAGAAAAGCTGGAACATATCAAAGCTGCTGGGATGGCAAGCTTCACAACGTGCACAATACATCAGCACTTACAGGCAGTAAATCCTGCCCAGCCTCAGGGGAGTCACAGCCCCCCAGAGTAAGCCCTTTCCTAATGTATCTCTCCAATGAACTGCTAATCTCCTCTCTAAACTTGACAGCTGTCCTGCATGCACTCAAACCCCTCTGTGCTTAAATCCTTCTATCATTCTGGTTAAGTCATTTGTTAGATCATTTTTGCTTTAATACGAAGAAAGAAATCTTTCCTCCAAGCCCAAACAAAGGCCTCACTCACCTGCAGCTGGCACATCCCCAGATTTCATACATCTATCTGTGTGTGTGTGTGTGCATTCCCAGGAGCAATCTCGGACCTTACAAACTCCTGTGGCCAGTGGGAGCTCCCCCAAACAGATTTCTCAGACCCCAGCAGAGCTGGTGGCTTCCTGTGCTCAGATCAGCCCAAATTTCTGACACGGTTTCTCGCTGGTCTGAGGGAGCAGAAAACTTTCCCCTTGGCTGGGCAGGGTTTGAACCCTGGTGTTGAATTCCCAGTGCCAACAGCTATTTGTCATTCTGCTCCAGATGAGAGTTTGCCAGGGTTGCTCTGCAGCCTGCCACAAGAACTCACATGAGACAGCACCACGACAGCTGTGCTCCTGCACTGCCCAAGTCCTGACAAGGGCTCCATGAGGGTACTTTGGCACACTCAGAAATATCCCAGCTTCCAGCTGAGGACAAAGCAGTAGTTTTTCATGCAGTTCTCAGTGTTTCAAATGTAGAACATTTCAAAGTGCACCAAAACACCAACCCTTCCTAGAAGCAGCTGTTTGTCCATTAGCTCTTCTTGACCACATATTTTGTTTACTGCTTGAAACCGGTGAGTTTCACCAAGACATTGATTCATCCCAATGCCAGCAGTGGGATTCCCTGCTCTTGCACCAGCACCGTGGCTGGGTGACCCCAATCAGCTGCAAGTCTGACAATGCCTGACAGCTCTGCAGGGACTGTGTGGAGCTGTTGAGTCTTTGCTCAACACCTGGAAAATGCAGGTCCACGGGCAAAAGTCTGGGCAAAGAAAGGAGTGAAAAACTCCTGCAACACCCCCCAAACACAGATTGCCAAGGCACAAGAGCTCTGCTGAGCTGTTGGTCAAACAGGGGATGCTGTTACTGCACTGTTGGTGACAGGTGTCTATCCTTCACAATATTTTCCCAATGATATTTTTTTATGCTGCTCCAGGTTCTTCATCACTCCCTGCACTGGCAGGGAGGGGAACAGGGCCATTTTCCTCTCTGCCTGTAGTTACACTGCTACAGCAGTGATGTGAAATTATTCACTCTGCCTCTTAAAGTGTCTACAGGAGATGAGGTACAACAATTGCTCCAGGAAGTGATGCTCGACCACTCTGACTGATCACCCTGAGCCCTGTCACCCATCTGTTACCTCTGCCATTCCCAGTGCAGAACCGTGTCCCACACAATGTGGTGTGGAACAGAACTTCCTCTGTGAATGTTTTCAGTACTGAAGGGATTCCCATTTCCCAGCCAGAGCATTTATGCTCTGAAACACTGCTCCCAGCCAGCTCTGCTCCCTGCAGCCATCCCTGTTGTTCCCTGGTCCCTGGCACACCCACGTCCCAGGCACTTCATGTGTGTGGGGAAGCAGATCCAGCCTTGTGGTGCCCCTGGGGAGGTACTCCTGACACCTGAGCTTATGAAACCTGCCCATTCCAGATGCAAACAAAACACATTGGAAAGCTGCTTTACCTGCCAGAGGAGCATCTGTTAGACTGACAAATCAGGGCTGTGCAAAAATATTTACCTCTGACACAACCTCACCCACCCTGCTCAGCCCAGCAGCTCTCACCAGGGGCTGGAAATTAATAGGATCTTTGCATTGTCAACTCCTCCTGCCCAAATGGAAAAGCACACCTGATGCTTCCCAAAGCAGGATCTGGTTTCTGGGTGGCCTGACTGGATGGGAACCATCAGGGGCAGCAAAGGGGGCTTGCATTTATTCACCACAGTTCCTTGTTCTGTAGCATGGCACCTGCCCTGCAAGGAGTGACCAGAGGGGTGAGGGCTGGGCCACCAAAACCTGGGCTCAGCAGGCCCAGCAGGTGTGTGGGGTGAGACACTGCTGCCTGTCCTGCTGCCCAGGGTGCCTGTCCATCACTCACAGGCACAGCCTACCTCAGGCCCATCCCTTCCTAGGGCTGAGTATTCCAGACTGGTTCCCCATACCTGAGCAGCATCCAGTGAGGGCACGTACCTCACCTGAGACCCCAGCCAAACCTTCTCTAATTTAATAATTAAAACCCACTTCTAACAGGGGTGCAAAGAAGAAATCACCTCTGCCCCACACAACGTATTAGCACAGTGAGGACACATACCTGCCTGAGACCCCAGCCACACCTTCTCTAATGTAGTTTATTAAAACTCACTTCTAACAGGGGTGCAAAGAAGAAATCACCTCTGCCCCACACAACGTATTAGCACCTGCTGCCCTATCTCCATGAATTTACAGGGCTCGGTGGAGCCTCTTTCCCCCGGTACAGCGCTGAACTTGTTCTGTGCCTTCCCCGCTGCCAGTGCCCAGAGCGGCAGCGCTGCTCCCGGATCATCCTGTGGCTCCGCTCCCCATCCCGGTCCCGATCCCGGTCCTGATTCCGGTCCCAGTCCCGGGCGGAACCCCGATCCCGTTATCCATCCCCATCCTAGTCCCGGTCCTGCTCCTGATTCCGGTCCCAGTCCCAATCCCAATCTCTGTCCCGGTCCCGCTCCTGATTCCGGCGCCGGCACCGGTCCCCATCTCCATCTCTGTCCCCGTCCCCATCTCCATCTCTGTCCCCATCCCCATCTCCATCTCCATCTCCATCTCCATCTCCATCTCCATCTCCATCTCCATCTCCGTCCAGGTCCCCGTTCCCCGGTCCCGGTCCCGGTCCTGGTCCCTGGTCCCGTTCCCCTGTCCCGTTCCCCGGTCCCCGGTCCCGGTCCCGGTCCTGGTCCTGGTCCCTCCGCACCTGCGGGACCGTCCAGGTTCCAGGTCCCAGGTCCCCGTCCCCGGTCCCGGTCCCTCCGCACCTGCGGGACCGGAGCGCGCCCCGACCGCAGCCGAGCCACGCCCCCATCGCCGCTCAACCAATGAGCGCGGGGGAGCTCTCTCCGGGAGCCAATGGGAGCGCGGCGGCCGCGCCCCCGCCCCCTACTTGAGGCGCTCCGCGCGGCCGCGCGCTCGCAGAGGCGGCGGGAGCGGGAGCGGCCCCGGAGCGGACGGCGCGGCCCGCACCGCGCGCGAGGGAGGGGCCGCTCCCATGGAGGCATTCCCGGGCACCCAGCTGGAGCAGCACCGGCACCTCCCGCCCGTGGAGTGCCTGCCGGGCGCCCGCTACGGCGGCCGGAGCCACAGCGCCTGCGGGAACGTCTTCAACTCCTGGAACGACTACCTGGGGCTGGCCACGCTCATCACCAAGGCCGTGCGGCCCGGCAAGGGCTTCGGCCCCGAGCCGCCCTCGGTGGTGGTAGCGGCCGCCGTGCCGCCGGCCGAGGAGGAGGAGGAAGAGGAGGAGGAGGAGGAAGAGGCGGCGGGGCCGTACTTCGAGGGCGCGCTGGACTTGCACGACCTGGAGCTGTGCGGGCATCACCACCATCACCACGGCGAGGGGCTGCTGGAGGAGCGCTTCGCCGACTTCAGCCCGTTTCCCGGGCGCGGCGGGCCCGCCGCCGTGGTGCTGGACTGCTCGGGGGAGCACCCGGGCCGGGAGGGCTCTGCCCACGCCTGGGGCGGGCTGGTGGTGGCGGGGCGGCTGCCGGCGCACCCGCGGGGCGCCCCCCCCCCGCCCC